ATTCCTGCTTTCAGGCAGTGCCAGATGACTAACTCGGCCTCCAAGGTCACCGTAAGCGCTTCCTAATGGATGCTTCGCTGCCTGACAGCCTCAGCCTTCGTTCCTGAGGCCTATAAAAACTAAGGAGGCGAGGCAAATGGTAAGCGCTACGGCTCCTTGGGGAGTCTGTGCAGTGAGCATTATCACCTTCTCATCAAAATGTAAAACCCAGCTCTCCTCCTCATTAGTCTCTTGCTCTTAAAATAATGATTGTAAAACGACTGCAGCTGGCCTCAAACCCGGACGGAGCAGGGAGGGCAGGCGGCCGCCTGCACTGATCACTTGGAACAGGGAGACGGTCAAAACGAGCAGCGAGAGGTGGGTGCCAGCCCTCTTCAGGGGGTGCTGGCTTGCGCCACGGACGCATGGGAAAAATACGCTGAAAGAGGCGCTGCAGGGCAGCTCGAACTGGGCCGCGTACCCAGCTGTTTTAATGAGCAAGCCCGTGTTGGCTTCCGTGCTGTCGCTTTTGAGGAATGATGCTTAGAGATCCTGCTCCTTCCCTTGGTATTTCAAACCAAACGGCTTCTCGCTGTCTCTTCCTTAAAAACCCACCGGCCGAAGGCTTACGATGGGCAGCAGCGGTCTAAGGCCTGGTTTGCCAGCTTGGGCCCAAGGCACTTTCCCATCTGGAGGCAGGGGAGCATTTGTTGGCACCTCAGAACCACTCCGAGTAGTGCTGATTGTGCAGAGTCACTGCTATGAGAAGAGAATCAGCTCTGAGATAATAAGCAAAACGTATTTGTTTCTTAAATGAAGGTCTAATGAATATTCAGTGAACTATGCTGTTCTCAGAGAGACACAATTATCTCCCAGAAAGAGCTGAGCCAGAGAGACTTTCTAGCAAAACCCTTTCATGCTTATTTAAAAATTCTGCAAATTCATGTAGCAACTGCTCTATTCAGAGTCGATCAGCTGTTCCTTCAAAATTTGTCACTCCATAGAGCCTTTTACAATGCTTTCTTCTAACAACATGACGATCTGTACTAAAAGGGGTGATTCTTTCTCACATCTCCTAAGAGTTTACCTACAAGCGCAGGTTACAGGCACTTGTTTGAATTTAGCAGACCGGGCTGGAACGCGACACGATGCAGCCAGGGTCAGCTGCAGGCTGACGAAAACCAGGAACCATCAGGTGCACTCAGAGAAGTTACCGGCCATTTAACCGGGTACAACCATTCCTCTCCTCCAGTGAGCGAAGGGAAGGACATCCCAGATGTTTGGATTACAAAGCTGCACCTAAAGTTTTAACAGGCTAAAGATAACCCGGGGCTGGCAGCCATGCACCACCTCAGGCCTGGAGACAGGGAAATCCTCCCTCTCTAACCTCGATCCAAACACCCCCAGTGCAAGGCTGCATTCCCTCGGCCTCAGATACAACAACTTAAGCATCGCTCGTGCACGTTAAACACCATTTTATATTCCCCAGCTCGGTGCCATATTCCATCACGCAGGCACGGTGCAGGTTCTTGCTTCCCCTTCCCAAGCATTTTGCAAATAGGGAAGTTACCAATATTTGGAAGGAATTCGCCACAATCTTCTCCCGTTCTTTGAGTTCGCTGTCCCTTTGGCAGTACTGCCGTTCTCTAGCAGTTACTGGAGCTGTGTTTTCTAGGCACTACCAGTTTTTGCAGCTCCTAAATTCAACTGAGCTAGTAGCAATGACCTGCTCTGCAGCCATAAATTTCTCAGGCTGGGCTGCATTAGAGGACGTGATCCAAGCCAGAGCACAGACCTGCAGCACCGCAAGGCTGGGCCACGCCTGACAGCAAGTGGAAATACAGGACCACAGAGCACTGGGGTTTGGCAAGTCCATACACAGCTTCCATCCCTTTTGCCTACAGACTTGCACAGATCTGTGGGGGGTAGGCTGTTGTCGAAACTGAAATATATAAATAATCTTTTATTATTATTATTTTTATATATATATGTATATAAAAAAAATATATATTTATATCTCCCTGTTTCTACCCCATCTCCACCTGACCAAACTTCCTTGTTTCTCCCTGAAGAAAATGTGCTGCTTTTCTCCGCTGGCAGCAGGGGTACCTCAAGGACAAGCTGCAGAGCGGGAGAGGGTGGTACGGCAGAGCAGAACTCCCCTCAAGGTCTGAGAGCTGGCAGAGGTCACCTGAAAGAAACAGCAAACCATCCTCAGGAACAGAAAGGCTGAGGAGGATCCGTTCTAATTTTGGGCTTTCTTGGCAGCAGCTGCTCTGGAGAACAGCACTGTGCCAGAAAAAGAGCCCAAGGAAACCAGTACTGCAGACAAGGTCACCTTCACCACCACGTAGTCCCCTGGCTGGGCTCTGACCAGAGCCTTGCAGCCCGCAGCATCCTCTATCTCGGCATCAGGGAAGATCACCTTGATGTTGCCGTCATTCCTCCCACACAGCTCCGAGACAGAGCGCTTGCTGGGCTGAAAGGAGGACAGGGAACATCACCTGCATGGCAATAGCTCTGATTCACTGCTGAGCTTTATTGCCTCAGGAATTAATTGAGCACTATCGCCAGTATTAAAATCCACATTCCACACCGTTAAGCACGCCGTGTAACGAAGTCCTATAGCCAGAGCTGCTGGGTGACACCCACACCCCAAAGCCAACATTTCAAAGCCTGCACTAACTCAGTGCTTGGCCAGAGACACGTCTCTAACCCATCCCATTCCCCTGCGCTCAGCTCAGTGCTCTGGAAAAATCAGGCTGTCTGCTTCAGTGTGCAGACATGGTCTTGGAGTCCTAGGATTGCGTGGGGAAAGTGAGAAGGGAAGGCAGAGGCGATGACTGCTGTGTACAGCCTAAGAGCCTCTTGGCCAGCAAGAGGGGAGGACAGCTCTGTTCCAGGCACGCTCACCCCCTCCACCAGCACCAGCTGAGACTGGCCCACCATCGCCTCGTTTGCCCTTGCAGCCTCCTCTCGAAAGACAGTGATGAGCTCCTCCAGCCGCCTCTTTTTTATGTCTGCAGGCACATCGTCTTGCAGCCGGTGATATGCCCGGGTTTTCTGCAAACAGACAAAGCAAGCACGGCTCCTCGGTAACCAGGCAGCCCGAGATCAGAACCCTGTCTGACCCCAGCCAGCTTGGCTGCTCTTCAAGCAACACCTCTCCACACATTACAGTTTGTTTTTACAATCTCAAGTAACATTTTCAGCACCAGCAACATCCTTGAGTTCCTCACATTCTTTCTGCACCACCTTTATGGTAGAAGGTTTGATGTAGGGCGCTGAGCATCGGCGGCTGTGTGAAGCAGTTCTGCAGCTCCTATGCGAGATGTGTCTATTGCCCGTCTGTCCACAAGGACAGGCAATGGATTCTACTACTCCTAGTTCCATGTGCTGAAAGGTGATCTGAACTCCTTTGCTTCCTTATGCTTCCCAACCTCCCGTCCTCTTCCCTGTCAGCATCTTACACTTTGGAGAGCATTCTAATGGAGACTTGTCTCCTATCCACTCTTCTCATGAAAATACCTTCTGAAAATTCACCATTTCTCTCCAGACTCGATGGACAGAGCCTCTGTAGCTGGGCTGGAGCCCAGCTACGTCAACACAATTTCTCATCAGCAAAGACAAATGTACCTGCAGCCAGGTCTCCGCAGACACAGCTGCTTCATTGCAATGACTCTGGAGCACCTGCCGAACCAGGTCACCCAGTCAGTACTCAACCCTGGCGCTCACGCAAGGGAGCTGGAAGCCTTTCAGGCACAAAGGTGGCCCCTGCAGAACCACATACCCCAGAAGCGCTGCATGCAAGCAAAAAAATCTACCAACATACCATGTCTTTAGGTATTCTTTTCAATAGCTTTTTTTTTTTTTTTTTTTTTTTTTTTTGTTTTTTTTTAAGAACAAGACCCCCACATACCCCAGAAGCGCTGCATGCAAGCAAAAAAATCTACCAACATACCATGTCTTTAGGTATTCTTTTCAATAGCTTTTTTTTTTTTTTTTTTTTTTTTTAAGTGTCTTCTTGTGAGAATCAGCACTCAGGAATTAGGTGAGATACCCAGAGATAAGAGTCTTCTCCATCAGGTTCTGCACTCACCTGTCTCATGCTGTAGGCAAACAGGAATCCTATGTTGTAGCGGACTTCCCGCAGCAAGGACACAGTCTGCTGGTGATCTTCTTCCGTCTCTCCACAGAAGCCAGCAATGAAATCGCTGCTCAAGCTCACTCCTGTAACAGAGACGCAGCTTTACACGTCCCTCAAGGAAGAGACGAACACTTCACTCAAGAAAGAACAGTAAGATACAGCTGTGCTGACCTCAGACGAAGCTAAAGGGAGCCCCTACCTGGAATGCACTCACGCACGTGGTGTACAAGCTCTAAATATGCTTCCCTTGTGTATCTGCAATGAACAACACATGGATTTGCTAATCAGAAAACCACAGCATCGATGAGGAGAACCCAGCCCCCTAAATCAGAGGGTAGGGCACAGGACTCCCCGTGGCGATCGCTCACCCTCGTCGCATGGCCTCCAGCACTCGCGTGCTTCCACTCTGGGCTGGGAGGTGAAGCTGTTTGCAGATGTTGTGTCGCTCCTGGATAAGCTGCAGGACCTGCGATGGGCAATCAGGAGACGACATCACAGACAGATCAACTCTACCAGGATGCCAAGGGGAACAGTCTTCCCTGGGTAACAGCCAGCAAACTGCAAACCTGCCAGCTTTAGCACAAACACTCCCCCTCCCAGGAGCTGCTGTTCCCATTCTGTGATCCCGCGTTCCCTTTGGAAAGGAAGCACAGCCTACATCTAGCAGTTCGGAGCTGCCTGCCTGCCTGCAAGCCGAGGTCCAGGTGTTTATTTTACACTTGCCTCATCAGGAAAATCCTTGGGGTGTGGAGAGGTGAAACGGATCCTCATTTCTGGATCAATTCTAGAAACCTGGTCTAGAAGATGTGCAAAGCGCAAGCCTCCTGGTTTAGCTTTGTAGACTGTGCTAAAGCCACGACTGAGGACTGGGGCTGCAGCTGATTGAAACTGCACCTCAGACGTGTCTCGAAAGCTGTTGACGTTCTGACCCAAAAGGGTCACTTCTTTCACTCCCTACAAAAATAAACAGAGAGGAAAAAATATAACCCGGTCAGGATGGCTAAGCTGCAAGGGCAGCCACAGTTTTACTCTTACTTCAGGGAGGAGTCTCCAAGGGAAGCCCTCCCTTCCTTATCTGTCTCAGAGTATTACAAGGGGAATCAAAAAGCCACTGGTGGAACCCTGCCGTAACCTCATCTCCACAGATAACAGTGGTGCCATTGCTCAAAGGTATCACCAAAAACACTTTCACTGAGCACCATCCTTCCTCCCACGGTTTGGGACAGGTGGGAAGGAGGCTCTGCCTCACCTGATCCGAAAGCATCCTCACTTCCTGCAGGATGGACGCGATGGGGCGGCTCCTCTCACGGCCACGGGTGAAGGGCACGATGCAATAGCTGCACATGTTGTCACAGCCCCGCATGATAGACCTGCCCGGAGGTAAAGTACAGGTCATACTACGATCGCTCTGGAAGAATCCTGCCCTGCTTTGACCTGGCCCAGCACTGCTGCCTTCAGCCAGCTCCCTTGGCCTGCAGCACACACAGCACCAGCTCCGACCGCAGCTCTGCAGCTTCCCCTTACACACTGCTCCAGCCAGAGCTGACACACTGAGCGGAGCTTGATTTCATGTTTGGGAATCTTATTGTCCAAACTGGACAAATCAAAACAAAACCAACAGAAGTTACAATGCATGGAGGATTGGAAGAATTACGTAGGAGAACTTAGGGCAGGACATAGCAGAAGGCAGGAGATGAGAGAGGCACAGACTTTAGAAAGGCACAGACGTCAGTGGGACAGAAATCACTCGGTGCAACACCAGGCTTAGACAATCGACATTCTCAAAGGAGAGCAAGAGAAGCCCGCAGACAGCCAGAGCACGCAGCAGTCTCTCCAGGGCTCAGACAGCGAAGCAGCAGCAAACACACAGTCTGGTAGACTCCTGCCTCTGGGCTGCCAGGAGCGAGTGCAACCAGGCATTGCATCTCTTGGGTAGCTGCTGTCACCGACATGTCTGTTCTGCACAGCAGTATTTCCAAACCAGAACCACAGAAACATGCACAGGAAAAAACGGTACTTACACAAACGCCGTCATGCCACCTGTGCTAGTCTGGACAGGCAGAATATCTGCATAAGTCTCATCTAGCGATAGCAGGACATTAGCAGCTTGCTGGCCAGACTCTGCCACGGCCAGCAGCCGGGGAAGGTCACGATACGCATCAGGGCCTGCCACGATATCGACTAGCTTCTCCTTGTGCAGAATCTCCTCCTTAAGCCTCTCGGCCATGCATCCTGCCGCCAAAGGAGAAGGGTCCTTGTGAGGAAGTGCCCACCCGCCATTACACCTCCGCACCCCCTCGCTAGCTGCTTTCACCCTGCAGAAAAGGCTTGCTGCTGCCAGAGGGGAAGATGAAACGCAGCACGATGGGATGTGGCACAACAGCGTGCGCTACCCACTGCTGCGCGTCCCACCAGGTACCTAGAATCCCGATGCGGAGAGGTAAGCGAGCCTGCTGCCGCCGGGCTTTCAGCGCCTTGAGGTGCCGCAAGCGATTCCAGATAGCCTGCTCTGCCTTCTCCCTGGGAAGCCAAGAAAACGGTGGTTATTCTGATTGTTGCACTTTAACAGTCCCCCAACGTCAAACAGCCCAAGTGCTTTGAGAGGAGAACTCAACTAAAGACAGGGGATCATCCGCCTGACGGATGTGATGGCACTTTGCCGTTTGTGATCTGTGGATTATGTCTTGACTCTATCTTATCTACTATCTTTTTGCTTGCTTGGGAGCATCTGCACTGCAGAAACAACTTAGGGACTAAGCGCTTACTGGGAAAGTCTGCCTTAGCCAGCCAACAGGAGCTACCTTGCAAGTGACAATGCGCATTTGATATCTTCTACGTTCAGAAAAAACAAGCAAAGTTCCCTATATATTTATATCCCAAATTGCCCCTAAACTTATTTCCCAAATTTTTGAAGTACAGACTCTGTACTAGAGAGGCAGTTCAAGAGAAGACAGAATAAAAAACCAAAAATTAAAAATCGTTAAAGCACAAATCTGTGCGGGTCTTTACCGGCCCACGACACATACACAGAGCTTACGCTACCGAAGAGCTTCTTCTCGCTATATAGAAAAGCAATTCATAGCACAATTAACGCTATACATTGTAGCATCAGCTAGCTCTGCCCTCAACTAAACGGGCAGTGTCACATCTGTATGCTCTTTTCCGCACACATTTATTGCCTTGTTTTTCAAATGGTAATTCCTTAAAAACTGTCCAAAACCAGCAGTGACAAAAGTTTCCTTACCTCACCGAACAGGTGACAAGGAGAATCACGTCTGCCTAAATTGAAAACAACAAAAAAGGAAGAAGAATTTGTAAAAGCCAAACAATAAGTACTCATGCCCTGCACGGGTAACCTGAAGAGGCAGACTATAAAACTCACTTAACTCAGTGAAAAAGATCTGCCCAAGCACACAGTGGGTTTCAACAAACAAAGGTGCAAGAAACCAACAGATGACAAGCAGAGTCTTTCACTGAATGGCAGAAGTAAACTCAGCCAAGGATGAGTCAGGAGCATCCCGCTGTGTCCAATCGCTCTCCAACTGAGAGGAAACCCAGCGGTTTAAAGAAAAAAAATAACCCACAGTTTTCTAGCACGCTTGTCAAGTAGCTTCCCTTACTGCGCAGAACTTAGACTGCAAAAATGACAGCATCCTGCAGGACTGCACTCCAGACAAACCTGGGACTCGCAGGCACAGCAGCGGCACGATGCCCTTGCAGACCTGCGCTACAGGAGAGCTCCGCGGTGCCTTACCTCACCCAGGTCCTTCGTCCTCGCGTAGCCATTCTTCTGCAGGATGGCCCAGGCGATCTCCGTGTCATTGACGTTCATCTGGCAGCCATATGTCTCCAGGTACACTGCAACAAAGGCGGTGCGATGCAGAAGCCTGCCTCGGTGCTCTCATCTACAATCTGTTTCTATGACCTCTTCCATAGGAAGGAACCTTCAGTCCCACCGCTGGAGAGACTCAGGCAAGCAGCACAAAAGCTACCTTCGCTTGCAGCCTATGCAGAGAGGACAGACCAAAAATAAAGACAGACTCTGCTAGTGGCACTAGGAAACCCGAGTGCCTCAGAGCACATCACTCCAACACGACAGGGCTGGGCTACGGCTTGCAGAGAAGCAGAAGCTGTGTTATTACTGAGATATAACATTTAGTGCAGTGAAAACCCCCTCCCCAGGGCATTACCGCCTGAAAGCTCTACGACAGCCCCGGCTGACAGCCAGCACGTGGACTGCGGCGAGGTGCCAGAGCAATCCGCTCCCCAAGCATCCCCATGGCGCGGGCAGACACACCAGCGGGACGTGGCCAACGAGCTGGACTTCTTCCAGCCTCAAAATGGCCTTCTGGGCCCCGAAAGCACCCAAACAACTCGTCTCCCCCGCTTGGGCTGCAAGGGGAAGCAGCAACGCCTGGCAGCAACGCCA